ATAAGACTTATTCTCCAGACCCCTCACCAGCTTTGTCGCCCTTCTCTGGACCCGCTCCAGCACCTCAATGTCTTTTTTATGGTAGGGGGCCCAAAACTGGACACAGCCCTCGAGGTGAGGCCTCACCAGTGCTGAGTACAGGGGGACAATCACCTCTCGGGCCCTACTCCCCACACTGTTCCTGAAGCCTGCAGGCTTCAGTGCTGGAATGTTTTTCAGCCTTTTCTCTCGGGCCCTACTTGCCACACTGTTCCTGAAGTCCTATGCAGGCTTCAGTGCTGGAATTTTTTTCAGCCTTTAGTCAATATGATGATGGTGGCAAGAGGCTGCCGGAGCCTACTGTGATCTGCAGCTCCAGGACAGTAGTTCAGCTGGATTCTTTTCTCTGTTATTTAGTGGAGATCTGGATTTAAATAAGAGGAACTGTGGTGGCTGGACTCCACTGATGTACGCCTCCTACATCGGCCACGACACCATCGTCCACCTGCTGCTGGAAGCGGGAGTGAATGTGAACATCCCAACCCCAGAAGGGCAGACACCACTCATGCTGGCCTCCAGCTGTGGAAATGAAAGTGTTGCTTACTTTCTCCTACAGGTGTGTATCCCATAATAAACAGGTAGAATTGGTTTAAATGCACTGGGTAGGATTCTCCATCAGTTGCAACCAAAGCATGTGATTTATGTTCTGTTGTGAGTTCATCTTCATGACGGGGATTTAAACCCTCTGAGGGGCAGTGGCTGAGAGCCCAGCAGAGGGGGTGCAGTAAAGAACATTCTCTGTTCTCTTGAAGCAAGGCGCAGAGCTGGAGATGAAGGACATCCATGGTTGGACTGCCTTATTTCACTGCACCAGCGCTGGACATCAGCAGATGGTCAAGTTTTTACTGGACAATGGGGCAAATGCCAACTGCAAGTAAGGAGGAACCTGTCATTTCATTTCCCAAAATAAATCTCTTATTCCTGATAGGGAAGTGGCATTTGGCTTATGAACGTGTTTGACCACAGGGAGAAGATGCTTCCTTTTGTCTTTCCTCCTGTAGCTTAGGAATTATTAGCTAATAGAGGGCAGAGGGCTAAAGATGATGAGGGGCCTGGAGCATCTCTCGGCTGAGGAGAGGCTGAGAGACCTGGGTCTGTTTAATCTGGAGAAGAGAAGACTGAGGGGGAATCTGATCAACGCCTATGAATACTTAAAGAGTGGGTGTCAGGAGGGTGGGGCCAGTCTTTTTTCGGTGGCACCCAGTGACAGGACAAGAGGAAATGGGCACAAACTGAAACGGAGGAAGTTCCATCTAAATATGAGGAGGAACTTCTTTGCTGTGAGGGTGACAGAGCCCTGGAACAGGCTGCCCAGGGAGGTGGTGGAGTCTCCTTCTCTGGAGACATTCAGACCCTGCCTGGACATGTCCCTGTGCAACCTGCTCTGGCAGGGGGTTGGACTAGATCTCCAGAGGTCCCTTCCAACCCCATCTCATTCTGTGGTTTTGTAATCCAAGGACAGGTGATGTGCAAACTGGACAGTGAGGTCTGCCCGTGCTGTCACCGTTTATTTAAGTAAGATCAAGAGAAATTAGATTTACTGCTTGTTTAATTGTGGGCTAAACTCTGAAAGCAACACGTCCTGAACTCAAGTGCACTTCACAAGTCTTTCTATTGAATTTTCTGTGTACTTGAGAGTTCAGTTTGTTTTCTTGAAGTGTGCGGTGCGTTTCTGTGCCTTGGGAACTGCCTGTTCGTTTATGCACATTGAATTGCCTGAGGTCAGCAAGAGGTTCTTGCTTTGTTAGCTCCTGCAAAACTCATTTTTGCTACTGAAAGGCAGGTCTACAACTGGAAGAGTAATCTGTTGCTGTGCAGCCAGGAGAGTAACGCTCTCTGCTGGGAGTTTTGCTGAGATAGACCTGAGTGCAGTAGAACAGCCAGTAAATGGTACAGTTTATGAACAGCTGAGGGCAGAGGCTGGAGATGCCCTGTCTGGGATGGCAAAGACTGCAGCGTGTTTCAGCTTTGATTATTCTAGTCCATGTGTGTGTCTGTCTGTTCTCTCTAGGGAGCCTGTGTATGGATATACGCCTCTGATGGAAGCAGCTGCTTCTGGCCATGAGATAATTGTTCAGTACCTTCTCAATCATGTAAGTGTCTAAACAGTTCTCTGTGAAGCTGAAACTCTGTGGTTCCAGCCCTTAGAGAGGAAGAAACACAAATTTGACACCAGACTTCTTACAGTGTTATGTTCGATCCTTAATAACAGTCGGTCTCAAGTCCCAGACTTCCAGGGCTGTTCTCTGCTTTCTGAAGGCCAGTACTCCGGTTTTGCATTGGCCTTGCATGACTAGGAGTGAGGTCTAACTGTCCACATGTGACTGCATAATGACTAAATTAAAAACCAGATAATGGAGTAATGTCCATATTTTGCATGCTTGGGCTGGGCTAGTGTGTGTCTCCTACTTCCAAAAGCCAGCATGGGTTCATGAAAGGAAGGTCCTGCTTGACCAACTTGATCTCTTTCTATGACCATGTGACCCAACTTCTGGATCAGGGGAAGGCTGTGGAGGTTGTCTGCCTGGACTTTTGTAAGACCTTTGCCACCGTCCCCTGCAGTGTTCTGAGGAAGCTGGCAAATCATGGCATAGACAAGTGTCCTCTTCACTGGGTAAAAAACTGGCTGGGTGGCCATGTCCAGAGAGTTGGGGTTAATGGGGTCAAATCTGGTTGGCGGCCAGTCACCAGTGGTGTCCCTCAGGGCTCAGTTTTGGGGCCAGTCTTGTTTAATATCTTTATTGATGATCTGGATGAGGGGATTGAGTGCACCCTCAGTAAGTTTGCAGATGACACCAAACTAGGTGGGAGTGTTGATCTGCTGGAGGGTCAGAAGGCTCTACAGAGGGACCTGGACAGGTTGGATCAATGGGCCAAGGCCAATGGAATGAGGTTCAATAAAGCCAAGTGCCAGGTCCTGAATTTCGGTCACAACAACCCCAGGCAACGCTACAGGCTTGAGGAAGAGTGGCTGGAAAGCGGCCCAGCAGAAAAGGAGCTGGGGGTGTTGGTGGACAACCAGCTTGACATGAGCCAGCAGTGTGCCCAGGTGGCCAAGAAGGCCAACAGCATCCTGGCCTGTGTCAGGACCAGCGTGGCCAGCAGGAGCAGGGCAGTGATGGTGGCTCTGGACTGGGCACTAGTGAGGCCTCACCTCCAGGGCTGGGTTCAGTTCTGGGCCCCTCACCACAGGAAGGACATTGAGGTGCTGGAAGGTGTCCAGAGGAGAGCCACCAAGCTGGTGAGGGGTCTGGAGAACAAGTCATATGAGGAGAGGCTGAGGGAACTGGGCATGGTTAGTTTGGAGAAGAGGAGGCTGAGGGGAGACTTCATTGCCCTCTACAACTCCCTGAAAGAAGGTTGTAGAGAGGTGGGGATTGACCTCTTCTCCCAAGGGAACAACGACAGGAGCAGAGGAAATGGTCTGAAGTTGGGGCAGGGGAGGTTTAGATTAGATATTAGGAAGAACTACTTTCCTGAGAGGGTGGTCAGGCACTGGAACAGCCTGCCCAGGGAGGTGGTGGAGTCACCATCCCTGGAGGTATTTAAGAAATGTAGATGTAGCACTTCAGGGCATGCTCTAGTGCCTGAGATTGTTGGGTGTGGTGATTGTTGTGGTGATGGGGTGTTGGTTTTTTTTGTTTTGGTGTTCTGTGGTGGGTTGGTTGTTTTTTTTTTTTTGGTTGGACTCGATGATCTCTTCCAACCATGGAAGGTCTCTTCCAACCATGAAGATTCTGTGATTCTGTCTCTTGATGTTAATTAGTTTTTAACATCCCATTTAACTGGTTCAGGAGGAGGATTTTACTGACTTCCAGAAGGAGGCAGCAATGCAAAACATTTTTCAGAGAAAACAAACCAGTTCCCCATGGCAATGCACAAGAGACATGTACCTGGGCTACTTGGCATTCAGGGACTGGGGAGACTGGATAATTAGAAAGGCAAAAAGGTTTTAGTTAGTGGAGCCTGAACTGTCTATCAAAGGTGAGACTGTACTTCTGATGTGTTTAGAATCATAGAATGGTTGGAGTTGGAAGGGACCTTAAAGATCATTGAGTTCTAACCCCCCTGCCCTGGGCAGGGACACCTCCCACCACACCATGTTGCTCCAAGCCCCATCCAACCTGCCCTTGAACCCCTCCAGGGATGGGGCAGCCACAGCTTCTCGGGACAACCTGGGCCAGGCTCTCACCACCCTCACAGCAAATCTCCCCTCTTTCCATTTAAAACCATTACCCCTTGCTCCCTCTTCCAATTTGAAACCATTACCCCTTGCCCTGTCTCTACACTCCCTGATAAAGAGTCCCTCCCCATCTCTCCTCTAGGTTTGGATGAACTAGGACAATTCTTTGGCTGCCTTGTGGTTTTGTGTGTAGTGCTCTCTGCTCTGTACATTTTGACCATCTATTTTGTTTCTCCAGGGAGTGAAGACAGATGTCAGAGATAACACTGGAGCCACAGCACGGACACTGGCCATGAAATATGGACATACGAAGATCGTGGGGCTGATAGATTTGCACGCAGCCCCAGTGCCCAAGGTCTTCTGCAGGGGTCCAGGTAAGAGAGAGGTTTTAGCTTGTCTATTTTAAGATAAAACCTGAAGAGAGGTGCTTGATATTTTTAAAGTGTGTTACTATGTGTATGGGGTAATACTAGCTGGTCTGTCCTGCAAATCCCAGCACTTCTGAGGATGGCAGAGGCATGGATCCAACAATTTTTTTTGTCTGCTGGTCCTTTTCTGACCAAGTTAAACTGCTTTACCCTCCCTCGTTTAACACTTCTTTTTTATTTTCCACTGCATTTATAGGACCAATAGCAAATAAAAGAGGGTAAATGACTTACTGTGCTGCTAACAATCTTTGTTTGAAATGCAGGAAAATATGAAGAGCTGAGTTCCTCAGATGAATCCTGTTCTGCTCCCCAGAGACAGAGACCTGTTCGTAGGACCAAGGGTCCCAGCATCCATGATGGGCCCCAGGCTTTGGCCAAGATAACAGCGGTTGGGATCGGGGGAAAGAAGCAGTCCCGCTATGGTGAGAATAGTTAGAGCCTCATGGAGAGGCCTTTGAGGTCTCTCAAATGCTTTGCAGCTATTTCTGTGCCAACACTTTCTTCTTTTGATTTGAGATTCATGTGTGGCTTGTAGAGAAAAAGAGATAGCTTTGTGTGATGGAGTTCACTATCCAGTCTCTGGTTTGAAAAGAAAACCCCTTGAACTCCCTTGTCGGGGCTGGATATTGATGAGTGGAACAGACACACTGCTCTTACCTCAATTACTGTTCCCCTGACTCTTGAGAACAGTCCAGCTTCCCCTTCTGAGGTTGGCTCAAAGGGTTGAGAACCCATCTCATGCTGATGACAGAGGAAGTGGTTACACAGGCCAAGAAATCATTGATCATGAAAATGAACTTGCTGCTCCTAGACCTGTCAGTTTTATTTTCCCTGTTGCTTGAAATACTACTGAAAATGAGACTATAAACCCCTTGCAATAGAAAAGGATCATCCCAGTTCAGACATCAACTGCCAGATGCAAGGTTATGAGTTTTGCTTTCTTGTGTGTTATAGCCATAGGTATTTCCTGGGCTGATGACCTAGTTGTCGAGAATAGTCAAAAATATGGATTTAAAAGCGTATTCAAAGTTCAGATCATTCTCTTAAGATGGATACATGCTATGCCATGGGCAGTGGCTGTATGGAATGATACCGTCAGCTTCTGAAATGATAGTGGGATGCTACTAGTGTTTTCACACAGATGCAGAGGGGTTGGTTTTCCAGGGGCTGCTTGTCTGGGGATGGCACAGAGCTGGTACCTTGCTCTCGTGAGCAGATGTTTTTCCCCTTGGTTAGTTTGGTAAGAAGAGGAGAGGAAATGCTGAAAGCTCCTGTTTAAGGTGCATCTCTGCTATGAGGCTGTTTCCTCTGACTTTTTTCAACACAACCATCTAAGTCAAGAACAGCTGATGCGTGTTTGTGTGAGGGAGGCTGTAGGCATCTGTATTTCTTGGTTTTTCTGTGTGCTTTTTGGAGTGGAACCTGCTAGTTAAGAAGACGGTCTCTTTTGATTATTTTCAAATCCCTGAGTGGTTGCTTTTTCCTGCTGGAGCCTCTCTGGTAACTTCCATCCTAATCTTTATTGGTTCTCCCTTCCTCTTGCACACAGAGCAGGTCCCTCCTCAGGGCTACGTTACCTTCAATGATGATGGCAGCTGTGAAGCAGACAATATCCGGAACCGGGACGTTACCTCGCCAATTAACGAGCAGGATGTGGAGAGCAGCAGCAGCAGGGGTAAGTCACTGTCTCAGAAAATAGTCTGGCTTGCAGTGTCCACCCACATGAGAGACCAACCCTTTGGCTTGCATGTTCCTTCTCTACTAAGATGTTGAGGATTGGAGTATCTCTCGGGAGGGAAGGCTGACATCTGGGATGGTTTATCCTACAGAAGAGAAAGCTCAGTGGGGATCTCATCAATTGGTACAAATAATCTGAAAGGGAGGGTGTAAAGAAGATGGATCAAGGCTGTTTTCAGTGGTGTCCTGTGCAAAGGGCACAAAAACAGGAGGTTCCCTCTGAATACAAGGAAATGCTGGGTTTTGGTTTTGTTTTTTACTGTGAGGGTGACTGCACACTGGGGCAGGGTGTCAGAGGTTGTGGAGCCTCCATCCTTGGAGACGCTCTTGGACGTGGTCCTGGGCAACCTGCTGCAGGTGACCCTGCTTGAGCAGGGTTTGGACAGCAGCACAAAAGAAGGCTCTGTGGGCAGTTTCTAAATTAATAAAGAATAATGTGGCTCTGTATTGGCACTGGGCTCAAGGAAAAGCCTTTACTGATGGGAATGCAGGCTCGGTAGTAATAACCCACTTTTCCACCCCATAACCAAGAGCCTCATAGAAACAGACGTGCTCAGCCTTCCTGCCCTCTGTGGCACTAAACAGACTTGGAGAAAGATGAGTGCCTGGTATCAGATGTGATATTTCTGTTTCAGAATGCTCTTGAGCTGTATATGAAGCTTTGCTTTGGGTTTCTCCTTCCTTTACACCTCCAGCAGGTTTTGCTGGTAATTGTGAACAAAACCAGCACTGAGCGTGAGGAAGCTGAACCTGAAGCTTTTTTTTATTATTATTCCTTTCCAGAGGATAATGTCTTCTTCACTAACAACTTAACAACCGTCAGGAGCAGCAGCAGCAGCAGTGAATGCCTCCCCAAAGCCCTGGGGGTCAGCAGCGAAGGTTCCTTGGAAAGCAACGAGGTGGGTTTTTCAATTTTCCCTTCTCTGCCTTCAGCGTGGCCAGTGCTGTCCCCCTCCCACCCTGCTATGACTCCACCTCCACAGGAGGCTGCAGTACCAGGCTGGGTGAGGAGAGGTAGAATTAGAGGGACAAGAAAAGCAATTTCCATATGATTTGCTAGAGCTTGGCAGGATAGCAGGTAGTATAGTGAGATGGAGAGAAGCTCAGCAGTGCTCTACTGGCATTTCTGAAGTACAGAATTGTTAGTTGAACTTAATGGTCTTAAAGGTCTCCTCCAACCAAAATGATTCTATGGAATGGTTCTATAAAAGGGGAAGAAGTTGGAGGTTACTCTGTTCAAGTTGCAGTTCTGGGGCTGGTGTACAGAAGGGTGATACAAGCAAACATGAGCAAGAGTCCTCTATGTTGAGGAGCTTCTAACTGGTGGAATCTTTAGTGCATTGTGTTGGTTCAGGAAGGATTCAGCGTTGCTCTTTACTCTGGGTTGTTGCTCCCTAAGCTCAAATTGCAGGAGCCTGATACCATTCCATGGAACTGAGCTGTCATCCTGGGAGTGACTTAACTCAGCCCTTTGTTAGTCTTTGCCTGTGTTTGTGGATCATGATCTGGATTTAGAGCTCGGGACTGGAGTCTGCACTTTTTTCCTGTAGTGGTCGTGGCATCTTTGCATGATCTTCCTCAACCTTTACGTTTTATGGGGTTTTTTTTCTTTCTTTTTCAGGATTCTGACCATGCAAACAGTCCCCCTTCTCGGAAACAAGCCAAGAGCTTTAAGATCAAGAATCGCTACAGCAACAGTGACAGCCAGTGGACCCACTGCCCAGGGAAAGCTGGGGGCTCTGCTCAGCACCTGATCCTTCCTGAGCCCCCTGCCTATACGGGGCCCCAGGTAACTATGCACAGAGAGATGTCTCTGAAGTAATCCAGACCACGTCATGAGATCAACCTTGGGAGGCCTTTCAAAGGTTGTCTAAGCTGCTTTCTTGGCCTTCTCAGATAAAAGGGAAGTCGTCACCAAACCACCTGGGATTCCAAACCTCTGCCCAAACTTAAATACTTTGTGAAATGGCAATTTTGTGTACAAAGAACTGTCCCCTTAGGTGTTGCTGTTGCTTGGAGGGGTGTCCTAGACCCTCAAGCCTGTGGGTGTGGTACCAGACGTGTCTGTGGTGGGGGCTAGGGTAGATGGTGGTGTGGCTGTCTCCTCTGCATTTGTTACAAGAGGCAATGGCTGCAGCAGACGAGCCAGTCCTCTTGTGTTGTGTGACTGGAGAAGGGCAGTTAACTGGGGGAAGTAAGGGTTGCTGCTAGAACCCAGAAACCCATAACAGCAACATGAGGAAGCAGATGTTTATGATGAAGAGGGATGGGCAATGCTTTTGTTTGTGAGGGTATAACTAAGTTTGTTTTGGGTGGGCTGCAGGACCTGGCGACGTTCCTCGAGCAGATTGGGTGCCTGAAGTACCTGCAAGTGTTTGAGGAGCAAGATGTCGACCTCCGGATCTTCCTCACCCTCACAGAGAGTGATCTGAAGGAAATAGGCATCACGTGAGTGTCTGTAATGTGGTTCTCACCTTTCCCCTTACAAACCACGTGCACAACCTGGTCAGGAAAGTTTATTCTGTGTTCTGGCCATCTCCCACACAGTTTTGATATCCCTCAATTTTCCCTTCTCTGCCTTCAGCGTGGCCAGTGCTGTCCCCCTCCCACCCTGCTATCACTCCACCTCCACAGGAGGCTGCAGTACCAGGCTGGGTGAGGAGAGGTAGAATTAGAGGGACAAGAAAAGCAATTTCCATATGATTTGCTAGAGCTTGGCAGGATAGCAGGTAGTATAGTGAGATGGAGAGAAGCTCAGCAGTGCTCTACTGGCATTTCTGAAGTACAGAATTGTTAGTTGAACTTAATGGTCTTAAAGGTCTCCTCCAACCAAAATGATTCTATGGAATGGTTCTATAAAAGGGGAAGAAGTTGGAGGTTACTCTGTTCAAGTTGCAGTTCTGGGGCTGGTGTACAGAAGGGTGATACAAGCAAACATGAGCAAGAGTCCTCTATGTTGAGGAGCTTCTAACTGGTGGAATCTTTAGTGCATTGTGTTGGTTCAGGAAGGATTCAGCGTTGCTCTTTACTCTGGGTTGTTGCTCCCTAAGCTCAAATTGCAGGAGCCTGATACCATTCCATGGAACTGAGCTGTCATCCTGGGAGTGACTTAACTCAGCCCTTTGTTAGTCTTTGCCTGTGTTTGTGGATCATGATCTGGATTTAGAGCTCGGGACTGGAGTCTGCACTTTTTTCCTGTAGTGGTCGTGGCATCTTTGCATGATCTTCCTCAACCTTTACGTTTTATGGGTTTTTTTTTCTTTCTTTTTCAGGATTCTGACCATGCAAACAGTCCCCCTTCTCGGAAACAAGCCAAGAGCTTTAAGATCAAGAATCGCTACAGCAACAGTGACAGCCAGTGGACCCACTGCCCAGGGAAAGCTGGGGGCTCTGCTCAGCACCTGATCCTTCCTGAGCCCCCTGCCTATACGGGGCCCCAGGTAACTATGCACAGAGAGATGTCTCTGAAGTAATCCAGACCACGTCATGAGATCAACCTTGGGAGGCCTTTCAAAGGTTGTCTAAGCTGCTTTCTTGGCCTTCTCAGATAAAAGGGAAGTCGTCACCAAACCACCTGGGATTCCAAACCTCTGCCCAAACTTAAATACTTTGTGAAATGGCAATTTTGTGTACAAAGAACTGTCCCCTTAGGTGTTGCTGTTGCTTGGAGGGGTGTCCTAGACCCTCAAGCCTGTGGGTGTGGTACCAGACATGTCTGTGGTGGGGGCTAGGGTAGATGGTGGTGTGGCTGTCTCCTCTGCATTTGTTACAAGAGGCAATGGCTGCAGCAGCCGAGCCAGTCCTGTTGTGTTGTGTGACTGGAGAAGGGCAGTTAACTGGGGGAAGTAAGGGTTGCTGCTAGAACCCAGAAACCCATAACAGCAACATGAGGAAGCAGATGTTTATGATGAAGAGGGATGGGCAATGCTTTTGTTTGTGAGGGTATAACTAAGTTTGTTTTGGGTGGGCTGCAGGACCTGGCGACGTTCCTCGAGCAGATTGGGTGCCTGAAGTACCTGCAAGTGTTTGAGGAGCAAGATGTCGACCTCCGGATCTTCCTCACCCTCACAGAGAGTGATCTGAAGGAAATAGGCATCACGTGAGTGTCTGTAATGTGGTTCTCACCTTTCCCCTTACAAACCACGTGCACAACCTGGTCAGGAAAGTTTATTCTGTGTTCTGGCCATCTCCCACACAGTTTTGATATCCCGTATCACAGAATCACAGAATCTTTTAGGTTGGAAGGACCTTAAAGATCATCTTGTCCAACCGTCAACCTAACTGACAAAAATAGACACCCACACAACAAACAAGGAGCATCATCACTAAACCAGACCTCCCAGCACTACATCAACCACCTCTCTACACCCTCCTTTCAGGGAGTTGGAGAGAGCAATAAGGTCTCCCCTCAGCCTCCTCTTCTCCAGGCTGAACACCCCCAGCTCCCTCAGCCTCTCCTCATAAGACTTACTCTCCAGACCCCTCACCATCTTTGTCGCCCTTCTCTGGACCCGCTCCAGCCCCTCAATGTCTTTTTTATGGTAGGGGGCCCAAAACTGGACACAGCACTCAAGGTGAGGCCTCACCAGTGCTGAGTACAGGGGGACAATCACCTCTCGGGCCCTACTCCCCACGCTGTTCCCATAGTTCTTGGCTCCTGCTTTTTTGAGGTGCCTTGGAAGAACCAGGAGACTCCAGAGGTCCTTGTGGCATCCCTTTGGGCCCAGGAACAGATGGTGCAGTGTTTGGTCCCTGACAATTTGCTCTTCTCCCCCCAGTCTGTTCGGACCCAAGAGGAAGATGACATCTGCCATTGCCCGGTGGCACAGCAACGCTCGGCCGCCCAGCGATGCCCTGGAGCTGGCCTACGCGGACCGGCTGGAGGCCGAGATGCAGGAACTGGCCATTCAGCTGCACAAGGTAAGAAGTCTGCCATGAGCTGCTCAATGCCTTGTCACACTGCAATCGTTGACTGGTAGTGTTGTATTTTTATGTTGTGCCTCTACTGGCCTGGGGTAAAGGACAAGACACAACTTTCAGTGTCGTGGTGTCAAGTAGATGAGGTAACACCATAATTTCAGCTTATCTGCTCCTCCTCATCTGTGCTCTGTGCTTGTGAAGCCTTTATGTCTGTTTCCCATCCACCTAAGAACTAAAGGGTGAGTGGGAGGAATTGAACACCTACTATTTTTCACTCACTAGTGAGGTTGTGCAACCAATAATGAACGGACTTCTGTTCATTTGGGAAATTGGGCCTAATAAATATCTTTGCAAATGCAGAGGGAGGGGGAATTGTAACTGTGGGCTGGTCTTGCTGTGGAGAGAAGCTGTATTGAGTGTACAAGCCTTATCCAGCTTCCTTTCCCAGCGGATTGGGCGTGCTTTTGGAGGAACCCTCTGGCTGCCAGAGTCATTAAAATAGCAGGGACTCTGGGGAGGTGTCAGAGCAGGCACCTACGAGAGTGATGTAGAGTACTCCCAGCCTAACCCTCCCTTCTGCTCCCCTGTAGAGGTGTGAAGAGGTGGAGGTGATGAAGGGCCAGGTGTGCCAGGAGCAGAAGCTACGTGCGGTGGCTGAGAGCTGCTTGATGGAGCGGGATGAGACCTGGAATGCCATCCAGTGCCAGCTCAGAGAGGCACAGGCCATCACGGAGGATGCTGGAGTCCTACTGGATCAGATCAAGTAAGTCATTCTCAGGAAATGGCACTGAAGCTACTGGGAAATGGGATTTGGGCCGTGCAGAGATGAGAGGTCATACTGGCAGTCATACAGGTGGTGCTTAGGGGAAGGCAGGAGAGCTCTCCAGGCTTCTGAACCTGTTTTGGATCCTGCCTGGCTTTCTCTAGTGGAAAACCACAGCCACGTGAGCAGATGTGAAGCCTTAATCAGATGCGTGAGCTGTAAATGGCCTGACTTTTCAGAGGTGCTGAGCACTCCTGTTTCAACTAGAAGGTGAAGGCTCTTGGCTCTTTGGAACCAAAAGGCCAAGTGCTTTGTTTGTGCTTACATCAGGCCCAGTGACTCAAGTATAACTTGAGGTGAATGCAGGAAAGAGTTTCTACCTTCCAAACCATATCAAAGGACTTGCGATGTCTTGCCCTGAGTAGTGAAAAATACTTTCTTGCAACAGTGACACCTAACAAAAACCTGCCCTGGTTGTTCCCACCACTGCCCTTGAGTTCTGTCTTCCCCCACCTCCTAATAGATCTTTTGTTGCCTTTGTGGGGCTTTTCTCCCTGCCCCAGGTGGGTTCCTGTCACGGACCCTGTTCTGTCCACTGACAACAGACATGTCCTTGAGGGTGGCCTTAATTCTACTGCTACAGATCCTGGCCCAGCAGGGAATGGAGCCTGATCCCTACCAAGGCAGGGTGAACTGGGAATGGCTTCCAGAAGGACAGCAGAACAGCTCTCCCAGCTCCCAGGGGCAGAGCACTGGTCTTTTTTTCCCTGACTGAGGAGCTGAGGCTGATAGAGGGGCCTTGCCATGCTCTGAGGATACGCTGTTAGGACTGAAGGTGTGATGATGATAGCCAGAGAACTTTGTGCCTCTCTTGCTTTAACCTGATGCCTGTCCTGAGGTAGCTTCATTTCCCTGTTAGAAACCTTGCATCAGGCTTGATTATTATTATTTTTTTGTATAAACCAGGCACAGCCCCTGGCTTGGGCTTTCTCACCCCGCCCCCTCCTTCTCTTCTCCCCCCGCAGCTCCTCTGTGGACAGGGGCAGAGATTGCTGTGGAGATGGGGCGCAGTGGAGAGCGCCCCGAGCTTTGGCTGGGGCACGTCTTCCTCTTCCTGGGAAGGAACAAGGAGCAGTTTGTAACCCAGGGCCTTAGATGCGATCCCTCGGCAACCCCAAGCAGGTACTTTGCAGGACGTAGGAGTGCACAGACCAGCATGTTGTGGCCCAAAAATGCTCCCTATGTGTTTCTGATGGGTTTTGTCTTTGTTTGGCAGATGCTGTCAGGCAGAGCTGTCCTCCCGGCTGGCACCGGAGCAGGCGGTCGGCAGAGCCCTGGACACAACGGCGCAGCTGGGAACCGGAGAGAGCAGGCGGCCTGGTGAGCGGCCAGGTGAGGAAGAGATTATCAAACTATGGGCACAGGGGGTGGGGAAACTGTGGGGAATCACAGAATCACAGAATCTTAGTGGTTGGAAGGGACCTCTGAGATCATCGAGTCCAACCACAAAAAAAAAAAAAA